TTTTGCAGAAGATAGAAAGTATTATTTATTACCTTGACAGTGTGTTCCATTTCCTTTATAGCCAGGTTTACACTTACACTGATAAGATGGAATATCATTATCATCTGGTAAATCAATGCATACTGCATGCCATGAACAGTTATCCTCACCAGTAGCACATTGATTTGTTGAATAGCATTGACTTGCTTGTGTTGCACCTGAATTAAATATCAAATTTAATTTCAAGATGCATTTGAAATGTTAACCAATAGCATTTAAATTATAAAATATAAAATAAAAACATAGCAAGCACTAATTGTTAATTCAAAAAAAGAAAAAAAGATTTTTTCACAATTTACAATATGCATTTTTTTTTAATAGTTTCTAAAGGATTCTAAAATATACAATTTAATTTTAGATACAAAAAATCAGTAATTCTTTTCCTTTCTTTTTTTTTTAAATACCTTGGGAAGCAGTGGTATGATCAGTAGGACAAAGCTTGCAAACAGTTTGAATTTCTTCATCCTGGAATGTTCCTCGAGGACAAAATTGACATTGTTTGCTAAAATCGATAACGCAATCATTGTTCATATAGTTAAATATCAAAATCTAATTTAAAATTAATTTTTTTTTTAAGATTATAATATAATTTCTCTTCATACCTTTAAAAGTATTATCTCTAAATAATTAATTTTCGAATAATTTTATCTTGTTTCGTTTGTAAAATTATTCCTTACATATAATATTAGCATTAATTTTAACTTTTTTTTTTTAATGTTATTAAATAATTTATTACAACTAACGTAGTAGTAACAAGAAATTGTCCCGCAGAACATTTCGGTGTATTGCATTGCATACGACGAACAGATGAAGTTCCTTCGGTAGTGGTACCTGATGGGCAATCAACACAAGTTTTGTGAACACCACGTGTACGATAGGTTCCTTGTGGACATGGTAGACAAACACCAACTTGTGTTAAATGTTCACCATCTAAAATAACAGAAATTAAATAGGAAAAAATAATGCCATTTTGTTTAAAAAAAATGTTATTTGTTATCAAACTTTAGTTTTATTTTAAAGAAAAAAAAATATAGCTTAAAATTTAATTAAAATTTTCTGAAAAATCAATAATTACAAAAAATCATTATAAATCAAATCAAGAAATTGAAAGGAAAAAAAAGAAAGAGAGAGAGAGAGAGAGAGAGAAAAAAAAGGAAAAATTACAATCGAGTAAATAAAATTCAAAATATTCTACTATCTATTGGTTAAGCAAATTTGCTTTAGAAAATATAACTTCAATCTAACAACAGCATCATTAAGCTAAAAAGCAATTTCTCTTAACCTTAATTATTTTCAAAGCTTTCAAATTTTTCTATTCATCTGTTAATGTTAAACTACAACATTCTTTAATATATTTTCAAAATTTTAAAATATTTACCGGGACATTCATCACGACATTCATCTTCAGTTGTTGATGTCTCTTTCAATGTTGTTTTTCCGACACCACAAGGGATACAGGTAAAAGCTCCCGATGTTGGTTGATAGAAACCAAATCCGCATGGTTCACACAAACCACTGCTAATATTAAACATTGAACCAGCTTCGCATGAATCTTCAAACTTATCTAATTAATAACTCTTTTTTCTTAATCAATAAAGTATTCTTTATTATTGTTTATTATCAAAAATAAATAAATGGTTGATGAGAAATTAGAACACAAATTTATTTACCTAGTTGTTTATCAATTTATTTTTACTATCTTATTAATACAACAAATGATTATGCTATCGATTGTTTTTTTTTTTGCTGCTACTATTTTTTTTTAAATTTATTTCTTTCAAATATGTTGATGTCATTGTAATTAAAATAGAACAAAATATATGATTATAGT